ATTGGTCAGTGTTATTGTTTCATTTCCAGCGACGGGCGCAACGAGTGAGTGAGAGAGAGATGACAGAGATCGAGAGATAGCGAGAGAAAGAGGAGCGAGAGAGCGAGAGAGAGAGAGAGAAAGGAGAACCAAAACTCTGGAAAAGAAGAGAAGACTACACCCAAAAAAATTAAGATGAAAATTCGGAACATGAAAAATATCGGGAAAATGAAACGAGGGGAAAGGCTCTTTGTTAAAAGAGAGGGGAGAGGAGAGAGAGAGAGAGAGAGAGAGAGAGTAGTAGAGAGAGAGAGAGAGAGAGAGAGAGACAACACATGCAAGTGGATATTGTCGATTAAAATATAGAACGAGGGCAAAAAGGGGCAACGTAAGTGGTAGAATTAATGGAAAAAGGGAGAGTGAAAGAAGAGGAACGCAAAAGGAAAAAAAAATAGAAAGAGGGGGAGGGAGAGAGAGAGAGGAGGAGAGGAGGAGGACGAGGAGGAGTAGTCACAGAAAGAATAACAATAAAGAGGACACAATAGATGGCGAATGAAACTGGTGGAAGTGTAGAGAAGAAAAAAAAATTGAATAAACGCCATGGGTGATAGGAAGTTAACAAATACAAAAGGAAACTAGCGGAGGATAGGAGAACCAAAAGGGAATAGAGGATAAAACTTGATGACGAATATCTGTAGAAGCAAAGGGAAAATTGAATGAACGCCACAGGGGATAGGAAAGATAGCAGGTAAAAGAGGGGGAGGGAGGGAGGGAGGAGAGGGGAGGGAGGGGAGAGAGGGGAAGGAGGTGGAATGGAGAACATAAGAGAGGCGAAAGAGGGAAGGCCGAGGATGGTGTAAGTGGAGGAGGTGGATAGTGAAATATACAGTTGGGTGGAAAGAGGCATAGCAAATATTGCACTAACTGAGAGAGAGAGAGAGAGAGAGAGAGAGAGAGAGAGAGAGAGAGAGAGAGAGAGAGAGAGAACGAAACGTGAAGGAATCTATGTGAAAACCCAAAGATGAGAGAATAACAATAATTAAAGGAGAATAAAATAAAGAAGAAAGTCAATAGAGAATAATAAAGATGAAAAAACAGGTGAAGGTAGATAATAATAATAAGATGGAAAATACAAAGGAATTTTTTAACCCTTTGAGTACGATGATTTAACCCTTTGAGTACGATGATTAAACCCTTTGAGTACGATGATTAAACCGTTTGAGTACGATGATTTAACCCATTGAGCACGATGATCTTGAGTACGATGACATACTGTATATCCTTGAGTACATTGACAACCTCTTGAGTACGATGACCTATACCTTCGATTACGGTGTACTCATACTCGAAGGTGGTAAGGTTATCGTAAGAGAGAGAGAGAGAGAGAGAGAGAGAGAGAGAGAGAGAGAGAGAGAGAGAGAGAGAGAGAGAGAGAGAGAGGAATCAACGTCATTAACAAAATAGAGAGAAAGAGAGTGGACGAGAGTTAAGAGAGAGAGAGAGAGGGAAAAAAAGAAATGAGAAATAGTGGAGAGCAAAGATGGAAACAGAAAGATAGCCGAGGCGAACGAGGGGAGGCGAAAGAGACTTGTGGGTTTAATCTGAACGACTTTGAGCGATGGCGGGAAAAATTTGAACCCGCAAGAGAAGCCTCGAGTCACCCAACATTTCACAAATAAATCCCACAAACAAAATCAATAAAGTCTTTATATATATCGCCAAAAACATCTTAAAATTATTGTGTGTGTGTGTGTGTGTGTGTGTGTGTGTGTGTGTGTGTGTGTGTGTGTGTGTGTGTGTATCTACATCTTAATGGTTTATTATGTAGATCCAAGAATTATAGTTTTGTTTATATAAAAATAAATACGCTCGTTTTCCCCGATATTCTTCTGATGAATAAATAAATCTTGTGGTTAGGTTAAACTTCAAGTAATTTAACACTAGAATGATCATTAACAAACGACAACTGATATACAAGTAAATACGATCTAAATACACAAGAGTAATGGTGAATATACCGAGTGTATCAAACGCGTCCATACAACACAATACACTCGCTATTACACAGTGTATGTATAGTGTAGTTAAAAAACAATAATACCTCGTTCACATCTACCTTATTACCTTAATACATCTCAAGTTTCACTGGTTACATACTTCCAGCAGACTCAAGCTTCAATAGACTTAAGCTTCCAACAGACTCAAGCGTAGCTATCAACAAACCGCGAAGACTTCACAGAAAACTCTAACCATCAATACCTAACCAAACCTAACCAAACCAAACTTAACCTAACCAGTAAATATCGTGGTTAAAGCCTATTGTTAAAACTCTGGTCCCTCGGCTGAAGGTAAATACGCTAACAGGTTAAAAACATACATACGTCAATAAACAAAGTCAGTAAGTCAGTTAAAATATTCGCGATCATAAAAATGTATTTGTTATATTTTTTGTATCCATCTTATAGTTTTATGACAATATGCAACTGAATAATGTTTTGGTTCGCTTACTGGAGGAGAGAGAGGAGAGGAAGGTGATGGGAGGTGGAAGGAATGGGGTGAAGGGAGTGGGAAAGGGGAAGGAGGGAGGTGGTTGGGGAAAATGGGGGTGGAAGGGAATGAAGGGAGATGGAGAAGAGGGTAAGGAAGGAAGGAAGGAAGGAAACGAAGATGAGAGGGAAGGAAACGAAAGAAATCTAAACAAAGTGTACTCATTAATAAAACCGTCTTAGGTAATGCAATAATGATGAATTACCCAGGTGACAAGTTAAGGTGTATCGTAAGAATGACTGATGTGTGCTTGAGAACACGAGGAGAACATAAATTGAACACAAGATGAGAACAGGTAATTTACAATGAGATAATTCTTGTGGTAAATAAAGATGAAAGTATAAATCACAGGTATGTATGTGTGTTATGGTGGTGGTTGGTGAGCGCCTCGTGATGAAGGGATGAGTTTGGTGCTTATTAATTCTCATTCTCTCTCTCTCTTTTTCATATTTTTATTTTCCTGCCTTTTATATGAACTAAAATGATTATACAAGAAGATATTATAGAAAGAAAAGTGAAATAAAAAGATAAAATCGCCCAAAAAATCAAGTTTAAAAGATACCATTGTTGATGTATGCGAAAGAGGAGAATTGGTGTTAGGCAGTGGTAGCGGAGAGTATGGTCTGACTACTACAAGGTGGTGCCAGTTGGTTGTCCTAAGAGGGCAAGGGAGTCAGACTATGAAATATGGATTTAGAGTCAGAGGTTAACAAGAGTTCAGAATTTCAATATCTGGGGGGGTGGTGGAGTGTGGTTGGCGGATTTGGTAGGTAGGAGGGAGGGGGAAGAGGATAAGAGGAGGAAAAGGACGATAGAGGAAGAAGGAGAGGAGTTGAGGAGGAACAGGAGGAGGCATGGGAGGAAAAAGAGGAAGAAGAGGATAGAGAAGAAACAGGAAGAGGGAAAGCAGGAGGAGGAAGAAGAGGAGGAAGAGGAAGAACAAGAATAAAAGGGGGAAAGGAAGAAGAAGAAAAAGATCGGGAGGAGTTTGAGGTTACATTCTTTCTCAGGACGCAGGGATGAGAAACTAGCAATAACAAGAGAGATTTCCGTGTAAGCTTAACAATGAAAAGCTTCTTAACACAATACTGAGGAAGAATGAGAAGAAGGGAAAGAAATGTTAGAATGTTGGTCTTATAACCGCAGTCAAGTGTGAGTCATTCTGAGTATAAGGAAGCGAACGTCTAGCTGTTATGTCGACGTGTACAGGACGAATATACGAACCAGATTAAATTATAAGGATTTGTAAAGGATGGGGATATTGGACAGTGAGAAAGGAAGGAAGGAAGGAAGGAAGGAAGGAAGGAAGGAAGGAAGGAAGGAAGGAAGGAAGGAAGGAAGGAAGGAACTGGTTAAAATATAATAAAAAGATAAACTTATAAGAATATGTATAAGATGTTGAAAAAAAAAGAGGCGAGTGAGAGAGTGAATAATAAAATGACGAAGAGATAATAAAGAAAGATAAAAAGGAACAAGAAACAATCAAATAAAACACAAACAGGAGAAGTAATATAAACAAAAAATAATCCTCAGTCACAATACACACAAGGAACATGTTACTGCTACGTAGAAGGCACAATACGGAACACCACTCAAAACTAGACGATTATTAGATCAAATTTAGAAATCATTATTAAACCTTTGGGTAAAAATATACTTGAGATTAGGTCAAACACACACTGGGGGTTGTTCAATGTCATATCGTCTTAATGGGAGATTGTGTTACCTGTGTGTGTGTGTGTGTGTTACCTGTGTGTGTGTGTGTGTGTGTTACCTGTGTGTGTTCTGCCTAATTAATATCATAGTTACCCCTTTTCTTGTTTGCTAAGAAGTTATAATTACCTCTTGTGTTGTGTTTAAAGAATTATATAATTGCTCTTGACTAATGGAAGCTATGGGATCCCCCCCCCCTCCTATCCTCCCACTCCTGAGGTATAGAAAGATGCAGGTTTTCTCCCTAGTTACCCCCTACCCACCCACCCGCCCAGATCCATCCACCAAGACCCACCCACCCACCCACCCACCCACACATTCCGTCAAAGGGAAGGTTTACGCCGTTGTCCTTAAATACAAAGCAAGTTAATCTTCTATTATGGGAGGAAGATAATGTCACTCCTCCATCCTTCTTGGAGAGGGATCGAATTAGCCATAATCCCTTACTAAGGCAGGTAAGGCAAGTAATAATTACCTGGTGTTCAAGCTAGGGGTTGAGTTACCCCTGCAGCCTGTCCTAACTGGGGGAAGACGGGGTTAAGGTTGCGTGTTGACAAAACAAGACTAAAATGGACGCCTACACAAACACATCAAGGGTAGGTAGAGCCACACACGGGGCTCTAACAAAGACCGCAGGAGAGCGACCTAAGACCTGCGCCTCCCGCGGTCACTTTGACAGTTCTTGTTGGTGTAGGACGAAAGAGCAGAAAAACTGGTAGTAATGGAGAGTAATGGCCTCCCATTCATGATCCAGCACACGTTCACCTTTCCCTCTCATGCTCACAGTAAATGATGCTTGTACTTACCATCTTCTGTACGTCGTGTGCGTGCGCGTCCATGGGCGTGGGCGACGGCGGTGCGGGCGGAGGCGCGTGTGGAGTGGGCGTGTTATGTTGCGGCGTGGGCGAGTCTCTTTGAGTGTTACTTATGGTGCTCAGGCCCTGGGTGAGGTGGGAGAGCATGGCGGGCAAGTGCGAGGTGGTGTCCATAGGCGTGGGTGGTGCGGGCGGCGTATTTGAGGCTGAGGCTGAGGCCGCCGCCGCCGCCACCGCCGCCGCTGCTGCTGCTGCTACTGCTGGCGCTACTGGCGGGGGCGTCGGGGTAGTCTTCTTGAGGTCTTGGGCGTCGTGGGGAGGCACAGAATGAGGAGGAGGACCTTCTCCACCCACGCCCAAGGGACCTCCAGGCAGCCCTCCGCCTCCGCCGCCTCCACCTCCTCCCCCAGGACCGCCTCCTCCCCACATCTTCTCCACCGTGCGGTAGAGCTGAGGAAGAAGAAAAAAAAGCGATAAAAATGGTGGAGCATAAAGTAGACAGTAAACAAATTAATCAGGTAACAAATGAGCGACCAGCATAAAGTGTGGTGCGGGTTCCCTCAAGATAAGGCCAAACTCCGCTCTCTTGCTGCCGTAATATGTGGTCCGCCTCGCTGAGGGGCTCTGACACCTCTGTAAGTCTACGACAAATAAATATAACACAAGTATATAAATCTTCCCGAAGGCGTAGATAAACCCGCTGCTAAAAACTGTGAGAGGCGGGAATCTAATTATTTCTACGTGGAGCAGCGCGCCACCCTGAGTTCTAGCGTAAAGATTCTCATTTAGAGGACCAACACCTCCAATTTTATATTTGCCCGTTGCTAAATTCTTGCAGCATTTTCCGTGCCAGTTCAGAATTAGTGAACTAAGTGAATTCACACGATAATTTATCCGGATTTATTCGGGGAAAAATGAGATTCAAGCTGACAGCCTTCCAAGTCCGGACTATGTTGTTCACGGTAAAGACAATATGAATCACGCTAGTTACTAATTACCCAGCAGCACCACCATCATGCACCCCACGTTGGTTCATACCTGTTACTGATGACCACATGACGCAACCAGGTACCAGAAACTCCCCCCATGACAAAGAATATAATGCTTGACGTAAATGAATAACGCAATAGCTAATGACAATAAAAATGAGAAATAACGAGAGAGAGAACAGACAAACTGAAAACTCAGATATGATGACGGTAGACGAAAAAAAGAGAGAGAGAGAGAGAGAGAGCCTTAAATACAAAGTCACAACACGAACTCCTCCATTATACAATCACCACAAACACCAGAAAGTGGTGAGAGAGGGGGTAAGAAGGGGGAAGAGGGAGAAGGGGAGAGGGAAGAAGGGAGAAGAAGGGGAAGGAGAAGGTTAAGATGAGAGAGGAATAAGAAGGAAAAGGAAGTTGTCATTGGGTGTGAAGATGGAAGAGAGAGAGAGAGAGAGAGAGAGAGAGGATGGTCCCAGTGTGCAGAAATAGTTGGTCCCCCGGCGGATATAGATGAGGTGTGAAGATTGAACACGAAGATAATTTCGACAGTGGAAGAGACTGAGACTTTCTTGTTCTCTGGCCTCCTGGGTGGTCCTCCTTGACTGCTGTCTCTTCCACTGCCTTTTTTAATCCACCAGCTACCTGCCGTCATAATCCACCAGCTGCCTGCCTGCATAATCCACCAGTTTCCTGCCTGCCTGCCATTATGATCCACCAGCTACCTGCCTACTAGCATGAATTACTAGCTATCCACCAGCTGTCTGCCATTATGATCCACCAGCTACCTGTCATAATGATCCACCAACCAATTGTCTCCCTGCTATTATGATCCACCAGTTTGCCTGCGTGCCTACCTACCCCTTCCTTATCCACCTGCCGCCTCTGCCTACCCTCTTTATCAAGCTCTCCTCGTCTCGATTTCTAACCCATCTATTTAATATTCCCTTCCATCCTCTCTCTCTCTCTACCAATTTGTTTCCCCGCTTGTTTATATACATTTTTCTCCCTGTCCTTCTGCTTCCTTGCCAATCTGTCCTGCTTGATCCATTGAGACTCTTGCCAAACTGTTCCCCCCCTGCCCTGTTTGCTCCTCTCCTTACCACAATTTACATATTTTATCTTTTGAGTGGACCAAGTCACCCTATTGTGTTACCTGCTTACTTGGAGTACTGATATCCCTGGTCTCCCTTTCCTCCCCCACTACCTGCTTAACACCTATTTTCTGCTCTGTCAATCTGTGCTGTTTTCTTGTTTATGTTTACTTTGGTTTATTTCTTATCAATCTATGCTTCTTCTCAACTGTTCTGACTGTTGGTTCCCTTGCCTGATTGTCTGTTGCTCTTCCCTCCTACCCTCTGTGTCCCTTCCTCCTCCTCCTCCCCTTCCCTTCCCCTTTACTTCCTTCTCTCCCTCTCCCCCTTGCTGTGCTGTCTGCTTGCCGGAGCACTTGTCCGCCTCGAGGGGATATTGGCACTCCAGCGCTCACGTCATTTATTAATGGCTCCTGCAAGTGGTTTTACTTTAATTAACAAACGGTGAATTTTTCTTTTTTCCGATGGCCGAGGGAGAACACAAGAATACCTGTGCATCGGTCCCTCCCTCCCTCCCTCTAGCGCGTGCCTCTGGAGCTGTCGGCCTGCCCTGCCCTACACACACACACACACACACACACACACACACACACACACACACTGAACCCCGTCCATCCTCCACACATACACACAGCCCTATCCTACCCCCCTCCCACACACTGACCCCCTTGCTCCCACATACACACTGGCCCCCGTCCACATACACAGTGACCACCGTACACACAGACACACACACACACACACACACACACACACATGTTCATTCCCCTTGTTCATCACAATTTGAACTAATCTTCACTTCAGGGGACAGGTTTGTGTTGTGTTCATCGGTGACTCACATAGTGGGGACTCGCTTCACTTGTTCCCGAGACCTTCATTGTCCCGTGGCGTTAGTGCTGAGAGAGATTACTTATGGTGGTGGTGTAAGGGATGATCGTGGTATATTTTTTTTAATTATTGTTGTAAATTCTTCAAGTCGCTTATATTACATTCGATTATTATCTTATACTATCCCCCACCCACCCTACACCCTACAACACCCACCCTACACCCACGTATTCTCTTACACCTTCTGTTCTCCTACACCCATAATTCCCCTACACCTCCCACAGATTCACTCTCATCTACACTTCCAACTCAATTTAACTCCAGTACACTCCCATTCTCTCTCTCATAGTTTAACACCCATATTTTCCGTTCCCTCCTACACCTATCTACACTAACCTACACAATCTTTACATCATTCTACAAGCTCTGTCTCTCTTAATATATTTACACCTCTACTTCCACTCATACCTCTACACCCCAGCCGCTTCACACCCCAATTCTCTGGACGAAAATAAACATGTGTTGGGTGGTAGTAGTGGTGGAGATGATGGTGGTAGTAGTGGTAGTACGTAAAATTGATGGTGGTGGTGGTGGTGGTGGTAGTAGTGGGGGTGGTGGTGTAAGGTGTTGGTAGTAATAGTGGTGAAGGTAGTTGTGGTAGTTGGTGGTGGTGATGGTAATGGTAGGTAGTGGTTGGTGGGTGGATATGGAGGGAGGGAGGGAGGGAGGGAGATAGGTAGGGGAGGGTAGGAGGAGGAGGGGAGGTAGGTAGGGGAGGGTAGGTAGGTAGGTAGGGAGGGTAGGGAGGGTGGGAAGGGAGAGAGGGTTAGTAGGGAGGGAGGGAGAGTCTTGCAAGCTGGCCAACACTGTTTACATTGGCACCTGACCCCCTGCAGTGACCTAACAAAAGGCTAACGCTTTCCGGGATCAACTTTAGCTATTGGTCATACAATAAGTCACATACAGGTCAAGTCAAGTCACAAACAGGGTAAGTAGAGTCACAAACAGGTCAAGTCAAGTCACAAACAAGGTAAGTAGAGTCACAAACAGGTCAAGTCACAAGCAGGGTAAGTAGAGTCACAAACAGGTCAATTCAAGTTAGGTCACAAAAAGGTCAAGTCACAAACAGGTCAATTCAAGTTAGGTCACAAAAAGGTCAAGTCACAAACAGGTCAATTCAAGTTAGCTCACAAAAAGGTCAAGTCACTAACAGGTCAAGTCACTTACAGGGTTATTGTACATGAGAGTACAAACATATAACTTAATTAATACATAAACTTATTAAATTATTTAAGATTATATGTAACTAATTATCATTCCACAGGTTAATTAGCTAAGTTAAATAGTTATTACACGTATAATATGTAAACTTTTAACCACAGCTATAATAAACGTATATATATGCAGTTATATACAGTATACACTATATTATATTATATAGTAATTCAGTAAAACTATACAGATTACTATACGTAAGGTTAATGATAATCCAAGTTATATATACAAGAGATTAAATTAACTATATACGGGTTATAGTGTAGTGAAATATCGAAAACTATTAATATAAACTGGAAAAAATAATATAACAGACTCGTACACATCTCACGAGCATTCAAAAGAAGAAAATATAGCGAGGAAGACTTTTAGATTTTAAGTAATATATATCGTATGTAAGGAAATTTTACCTCTGTAGCTACTGTAAAATATCACCAGGTATTTGTTCAGGTTACTCACACACGTTCAACTATTTTCCTTCAAACGTTCACATCTTACACAGTTTCCAATAACACAGGTAGCGTCAAGTAATAAAACCTTGATATACCTTTCCCGATAATATTGTAGAGAAAATGTTTCCCCCCATCTTAGTTTTCCATGGTAGTGTAAGAAACGTTCAGGGTTTATTCACTTTCCATAGTTATTGTATAAAACGTTTGAGCTTATTCATTTTCCATGGTTACTGTAGGAAACGTTTAAGTATATTCACTTTCCATAGTTATTGTATTAAACGTTTGAGCTTATTCACTTTCCATGGTTATTGTAGGAAACGTTCATATCTTACACGTAACCCCAAAAGCATCTCACAAGAACCGTCTCAAAAAGTAAACAACGAGCGCCGCCATTATCTTAAATCTCTCTGATAATATTGTACCGAGAAAGTTTATCATCTAATAAGTCTTAAAAACAGGACGCAGTAAAGCTGAGGACCTCGACCATTTAGTGAGTCAGGTCCCTCTCCACCCCTTCCCCCTTTTCTCCCCTGGACTGGCTTGGAGCACCGGGCAACAAGGCAACACACACACACACACACACACACTTGCAGCCAGGCGACCCCAGCCACGCAGCAAAGTAGCGATATTCCGTTTTTACAACTATAACCGACCAATTAGTCGCTAACTACCTCGTTAACGGCCCATTACCCGCCCACGCTGGACGCTCAAATCACCGGTTTACTCTCAATTAGTCGTTAAGTAATGAACCAGGCGTTTAATGAAGATTTCTCGATACAGACGATGGTCCGTCGAGGGAGGAGGGTTTCTTT